AAAGTGTACATAATACTAAAACTTAATGTGCAAATTACCAAGTTTGTCAAGCATGTGCAAAGGCTTTGCTCATGTACTATACGTAGGGGCAAGCTATTGAAAAAAAATCACACAATAGCAAAAAAAACCTTATTTCTTGATTATAAAAGCATTTATTGTGACTAGCGGAAAGAGGTTTATACAAAATACACATATAAATGACAAAAAATCCATAAACAGCACTAAAACTTTTATGTCTTCATGTTGTTTTTCGAACGTTGATTTGCTGTTTGAAGCATTCTTCTTAATCATTCTCCATACTGGAAACCGCGCGGTCTGACTCATTGGAGTACATGTTATTATCATCTCGTGAATCATCATCATTGATATTACTATCATCGACCGATTCTAAATCATCATCATCAATATTACTATCATTGATTGACTCTAAATCGTCATCGTCTGTATTTTGATATTCATATTTCCATGTTGTCACATCATTAATATATGTACTTAATTGAGCGCTTTTAGATTAAAAATAGGTATGTCCGTATGTTGCTGTTTTAACATAAAGAATCTAAAACATGCTACGGCATGTACACATGGACTGGAAGTGCGACAACCTTGTTTACAATCACAATATGTAAGGAAGTTATTTAATAAATTGTTATTAGAAGCCTCATTTTCACCACGGCGAATGTACACGATATGTTTTCTTGGATTTATAGAATCAACAGATGCAAATCTATTTATAACATTATGACACCTGATGGCGTTTGAATATTTAATATGTTTCATTATTTTCATGTCGGTTATCATCTGTTGTAGATATTGTTCTGATAATTCAAAAGCATACACTGATGCGCACCAATTTCTAATAATTGGTTCTGATAATGGTGGAAAAAAACATTCATCTATTAAGTGATTGATACTAAATTGTGTTCAACCTCTGGATGTATTGGCTTCCTCATCGTCTATGTCATTTTCTAAATCTAATCTTTGAATGATCCGTTCAACATCTTTGTTTATCCTTTCGGTATTGTTAATTAATGATGGATAAAAACAATTGTCTGTTGCTAATATTATTTGAAATATATTATGTAGAATAGGAAGATAGTTTGTGTCAATAGTGTTAGCTAATAATTTAAAATTTTTTAATTCGGGCAAAACCACGTTCAGTAGCATTTCTAACAATTGTTATGCAACGTGTTTGGTTTGGGGACGAATGTGACAATTGTTTTTCTCCTTTTCTAATAGATAATGGTGTTACTAATGTAAATGGCCCAATACAGCTACTATATCCTCGATCCGCTACAATAATATCTAATGCACTATCGAATATTTTATTAGTTTCACTATCTGTTGTAATTGTTTCCTGATTATAAATCCATTCATCATTGTTATTGCCGTCCGCAAAAAAAGGACTTATTGAATGTATCCATCTTCCATTAGTTGCTAATGAACAATGCATCTTCACTAAATTGCGACCTTTGTGCATAGAATATGTCTTTTTTGTATACTAAAATCTTTTGTTTTCTGTATATATAAATATGTTGTATCAATTAAGCAACGTGCATTAGGAACAACATCAGTAATCCAACGTGGTGTTTCTTGAATGATTCTATCTCTGCTCCACGCAGTTGATCCCAAAAATTTATCGACAAACTGTGCTTTTAATTTATTTGTTGTGTTATTCATAATATAAGATATTTGACTTTGACTTTTGCCAAAAATAGCTGCTGCAGTTCGTTGTGATAGTGCTTGTCTTATGATGCAATAATAAATGAAAATATTATTATTGTGAACTTCAACAATATTTGATAGGTATGCAGTATTATCAAGTATGAGACTGGTCAATGTTTTACATTCTTCATCAGTTATATGATCAATATTAATACGATCTTTTTGATATGAAGTGCTATTTTGCAATCGTTTTTCATGCTTTTCGTACTCCTTCTTAATATTAATTCGCCAGTGGTGTCCTTCTAAATGCTTTGGATATACTTCCAACATATAACTTACTCTTGCAATTTGAATTTACGCAAATATTAGCCGGAGCAGATGCTGTATTTAGTATAAACTTCGAAAGATCGAAGTTTTTCAACTTTGAGTCAATATCCATGTTTATTGAGGAAAACGTTGAAAGCGGCGATTTGTATCTATTTATTCCGAAGACTACAAATATTCTTCAAAAGTACCTAGTTAGTTTTTAACTTTTATATTTTATGTATTTCAAAGGCGAATTTATATATATACAATACGCAATGTCTACATCAGGAATCTTCTAGAACCTTCTGGAAAACTTCTAGAAACTGCCGCCACACGCATGTGTATGTCCAGACAACTGGAATTTTCTAGAAACTTTTATAACGACAAAAAATTATTTTTCAGAATAATAAAGGATTATTTTTTTTGCTATTGTGTGATTTTTTTTCAATAGCTTGCCCCTACGTATAGTACATGAGCAAAGCCTTTGCACATGCTTGACAAACTTGGTAATTTGCACATTAAGTTTTAGTATTATGTACACTTTTTGAATGAATCTTTCACAGAAAAGGCATTTTCCCTCCCATACCTCCCGAAAAAAATCGCACTTTTTCAAAGTTAAAGCTCCGTAACTTCATAAGCGGATGAGCTAGAAAGATGAAATTTGGTGTGTAAGTAGGACACTGCAAGAGGTGTGAAATAAAAAAAATTGTTAAAATCGGTGCATAGGAACAAGAGTTATAGGTGAAATACTGCCAACATCAATTCTACAAAAAGTTGCATTTCACTTCAATAATGATTTGATCTAAAATCTTATTTGTGCACCGTTTCAAGATTTAAAAATAGTTGTATTCGATCATACTCGACATGCGCTATCTTTTGAATATAGATTGGTTGCTTACCCGGAATTAGTGAAAACCGATCATGTCCTTTTCAGAAATTTTTCTGGAGGGTTTTCTATACCTCTTCAAAGGACATGCATACGTCCAATTATCATACATTTACTGCAGTCACAATCAGGGAAAGAAGCCTGCTGGCTCCGCGACCTATGCAATATGCCCTGCTGATTGTCTTCCGCTCATAATAATATATCTTCTCTGCACAATAGATATAATTCAGCCACTTCGCGGAAACAAAATCCATTTGTTAATATTGTCAGTTTAAAAATACATGGTGGCATTTCCTCTTCTTTACGTTTAATCTCTCAAGAAAAAAAGAAAAAAGTGTATTCTTCACCAGAAGACGTTTTCTGAGATCTACTTCAATCAGGTTGAACTACAGAGACTAAACGTATATTGTTCACAATAGAATTTAATTTTGTTTCATTACAAATATTTACTACAGAATATTAAACTTTGGTACAAATTTTTAACCAGTTACGGATCCAGAAAATGTTAAGAAGGGATCAATTGCAAGGAGTCTATCAGAGATAGTATGAGGTGACATTTTAATACGCGTATTTAGAAAATGTATTTTTTTTTGCAAAAATATTTCGTATACGTCAGTATAGAATAGAGATGATTTAGATAAGAGGAAGTGCCTATATTCTTTTTATCTGAAAGTATTTCCTTGTTACAGATTCTGGTATTAGCACAGGCAGGCAAAAACACTTTCTTCAATCTGTTTGTTAAAGTGCAGTACTGTGCGTTGATCTCCCACAATTACATGTTTTTATTGTTTTTACTAACCCTCGAGCGCTTGAAAATTTGATGTATGTTCCAAGTTGTATTTTCTTCACATGTCAACATAATCTGCACAATTTTAACTTTATTATTTTTCTTCAGATCTTTTTCTTCTCTTCAGCTTGCATATACCATAAAATATGCTTGAGAATAAAAAAAAAAATGTAACATTATTCTTTTTTTTTTTGTCATCATGTTAGATGAGTACAACATCAATAAACGTCATTGATTATCGCGATTATGATTACAATATTATAATTTGCACAACACTTACACAAGACGATTTGTACAAGGATGTGAACATCTCATTTTGACTAGATGGCACTCGTGTTAAAAGTTAAATTAAAGAAAAAAGAAGACTTACACAGATACACGTATGAATAAAATTAATTATATGTACACATACACAAGACAAAAACAAATGCGCACGAAGCAAAATATAAAATTTTTAACTGGAATGAGTACGAACATTATCATGAGAGAATTAATTTGGTCATATGGAATGCACAAACAACAAAAAGAAAAATTTAGGTAGTGATAAAATTCTTATTACGTTCTTAGCTTCAATAGCACGACAACAAAGAAGAACAACACAACAATTACTAAAATAATGTACTTTTCAACTTGCAATGCAAATAAAGTTAAAAAATGTACTCTAAATATGTTCATATGAAAATTTGTACAATAATAAATGAAGCATTGCACATTCTCGACCTCGGCCATTGTTAATTAAGAAAGAAGAACAAATAGATTAAAAACAACACCTAACATTAACTAGAAACAAGCACACAATAGTCACTGTTAAAAACGGATAATCTGCGAAAAACAAAAAAAAAGCTTAACTCTATTAGAATTAACTCGATCGATAAGTCTTCAGAATGTTACTGTTAACAATGGTTGAGTAACTACCCGAAATAATGATACCTCTGACCAATAAAAAGGGCTATCTTACATTATTGAATTGTTGAAGTAAATGTTTTGGTAAATCAAATTGATTGTTATTATGTTCCACTACCATCGTTCTAAGTTTTCTCAAACAATTTTCTTTTAATGTTGAACATGTTTTACACCGATGTCCTAATATAACTATACTTTGAGCAGATGTCGATGATATTGCCGGATATAGAAAACAATTGTTGTTGTTATTCTTCAGTGATTTAAATGCAATTCCACGATGTTCACCATTGATTGTATAAGAAAGTGTATCATTATCACTATCATAAAGGAGGCCAATTAATGCTGATTCTAATACTTGCAGTGGTTTCATATATCGCTTACACGTACCATTTTGCCATAGATAACCATTATGCGATAGACCCCAACCATTTTCATCCGTTCCAATTAAATCTTTAAAGCCAGTGCATGACAATTTTTGTTGTTTAGCTAAACTCAGAAGAAAAAGTAAGTTTATCATGCGATATTCTAAAAATTATTCAGCCGGGTAACATCATCTTCTGTTAAATCAGAAATATCAAGCAGATTTTAGCAAAGTCGCACAACGCTATTAAAAATAGACACATACTTGCAACTCCAAACATAATTGATGTTCCATAGACAGCTGGTATGAACAATTCCCAATAATGTTTTCCTGTTGATGGCAGTGGACAATTTCCAAGTAGAACACATGTTGATGAACTTCTTCTAGGATGAAACATTATATAGTCTCCATCTACAATAACATTTGGTATAATACATGGCTTGTAACATTCATTTCTTGATGAGTCTACTTCGCATATTTTTGTGTCAGTTGATGATGGCGAAGAAAACGACCAATTGACACTAATGCAATTTTGACAACTTCGATGTTTCTTCTTATCTAGCAAAACATATTCCATTCTTCGTGATGATATAAAGTTTAATATTGATGTCGATGTTATTTGTTGTTGTTCTTTTTGCTGCTGCCATTGATGTAATTTAGCAGCAGCAGTTGTTGTTCTTACATCTGCACTGGAAGATCTTTTTTGATGTTTCTGTTTGCTAATATTCTTGCAGTCGACGTTGTCTTTTTTTCCCAACTTTTTTTGTCGTTTTCTTCTTTTTTTTTCTGAAACGATGATTCTCATCTTTTTTTTTCTTCTCTTTTTTCGGATTACGTCTCAACAACCGTCATGTTCAGTTATTATAGTTAATAGTAATAATAAAAAAAAGAAGAAAAAAAAACTTCTACTGTCTGATGGTAACTCCAACGGCAAGAGAAAAAGCAAAAGGAAATAACTGTTCGTAATAGGCGCACGCGTTCAATTAAAAATGTTCAAAAAAGGAAAAGAAGGGAAAAAGATGTGAGTTGACAAATGACGCTCTGGCTATATATATATATATATATATATGCACAGAATAAACGAGCGAAGAAAAAGAGAAATATAGATTTATATATATTTATGCATGACATGTCTTTGGTGTCGATTGACATCTGCTTGTTGGATTTTCTGAAAAAAAAATAAAGATGCCATCTGTGTTTGTGTTCTATGAACGAACGGATAGAGAGAAAACATACATGCATAAACTAATCTATCTTTCGTCGTATGTTCTCCTTTCCTGATGATTAAAATACAATTGGCCTCATGTTAATAATTCACAATAACCATCAGTTTGGTCACACCGAGAGAGAAAATGCAGTGATGTGAGAAGATAGCTATTCATATTCATATTTATTCATTCTTTTGTTTAATATTTAATGAACTTATCACATATAGAAAAAGAGGACCGTTTTTTATGTGAACAAATATTGTTCTTGAGTACTACTACATCTCATGCAATAATCACTTCAGAAATCTCTTGAACAACAATATTGTTACTTTCTTGTGCACACTGTGTCAAATCAGAAAAAGCTTTCCTTTAGGTTTTAGTTCCCAGATGGGAAATGGGTTTTTTTTTCTTGTCCAATCTACAAAAATTTTTAAGTTAATCAACTAATTAAGTCTATTTTAACAGATATTCATCTTCGTACAAACATACACACGTTTCTGATGGTTATGAATGTCGACAAAATTAAGAATTTTGATCGAGAGTAAATATCATGGGTTCAGACATTTATGGATCTAAAAGTTTCAAAACAAGCAGCAGCTGTTGCTTTTCTCATTATCTCTTTATTTTTTCTTGTCTAATTTCAAAAATAACGGTCACTAATACGTGATGTTAGTCGACACGCGACATGTTTTTCTGTCGGCATCTTTTGTTTAAGTTGAACAGTGTGTTCAGTTCATCAAACAGGTAAACTATTAGAACAAAATATATTAACAATAGAACTACAGTTCCTTGAATTTTGTGGTGATTAAATCTGGCACCACAAGTACATAAACGGAAATTGATTTTAAACTATATATCATGATTCGAAAAGTTATTCTTAATTTGTTCGAATGAACACGATAATAATAGTTGTCCATACGCACATATACTGTACATGTACAATAGATCACAGAGAAAAGAGAAAAAAATGAAAGTGGGAAACGAATGATATATATTGAACGTATGTAACATCTGTCCATTGAAAATAAAATATATGAAACAAAGCGATACACGTGTTACTATATTAAAACAGTTCCTTTAATAATATATGAACGTATAGGTTTTTTTTGCCTAAAGTCATCAATCTATCAATCAAGCAAGCGAAAGATGCAGAAGTTGAATTGAATATAAACTTTTAATATAGAGAACAGTTGGCACATTAAGTTGAAGAGAATAACTGTCAAAATTAAAAATTAAATGAGATTTGACTCTTTTTAGAATTTTAGTGAGAAGTTGATTTCAAATCAGGCTGTATTCAATGTCACATTTTGTTCTTATGAACAATCCTATAACTCTAACAAAACATCAGAGCAAAATTTGTCTACGTTGATATTTCGGCACGATCCGTCCGTTCTAGTCTTATCTCATTTCATATCGTCAAATATTAACGATCCAGTCTATCCATGAATATTTCGTCATCCGTCAACTTGTGCTGAGTTTTGAATAACTTTCAATGAATTCTTAATAAGGACGAGAAACGGTTTGTGCAAGTAAATGGCCCAATATGATTTTGAGTCAAAACCATCCGAAATGCTGCCTTTTTCACTTCTCAAAAACTGCTCCTGGTCGTCTTGAAAAAGATATTTCTTATCATTTTTCGTCGCCAGTTCAACGAAGGCCATTTACTTTGTTCCTCAAATTTTTCATTTTTATTTCAAAGATCTTGACCAAAGCCCATACATGGAAAGATGGAGAATTTTCCGGGCTTCAAAATGAGCTGTAAATAAGCTTCTCAACAATACGCCCATATAGAACAAATGTCAAAATACTCGACAGATATCATAATTTTATCCTATCTCACCGCTTTAAGAGAACATTTCTTTCAAACATCAGCTTTTTGAAAAATTCTTCCAGAAATTCAGGACCACTATTGGGTCTCTTGAAGTGTTATCTTTCACTTTTTTTTTCCATGAATTGTGTTTTGATTGATCGACACTTGCAATTACCTCCTCACGTTTTGCTGGACTATTATTTATATAATCAATCGAAATAAGCTTCCGAGTATGAGGATGACGAATGATGTTGTTCATTGTTCGAGAACGGGTAAACGTTTTGTTTTGATCTCTTCTATCTATCTTGAGTTTTTCAGCATCACCATCATTAAAGTAGTTTTCGTCAACGTTAATTGAACGTATAGGTCCATCTATCGGTGATTCGAACCATCTATGATTCTTTCTTCTGGGAGCTAAATATTTATCATCATTTTCTCTTTCGTACAGTGGACGACTGTGAGTTTCATCATAGTCTGAGAGATTATCGATAGCTAATTCACGACGAGATTGTTGACCACTGTTTCTACTTTTTGATATTGGTGAAGTAACATACGTTTGATATTTTTCGGGCATCCGACCTCTGTTAGAAGAGGCTGATTTAGTACAAACATACAATATTCGTCTGTTTGTCAGATTAGGAGCACTATAGTAGCCGCTATCATTATCATCAGAATCATCAGACATAGATACAAACTGTGTCTCTACGTAACAAGTATGATAATATCTGTGTAATACACAGATATTATCATCTTCAACTGTTTCAGTTTGCTCAAGTACCATAGCTGAAAAATGAATTATAAATTATTTTTAAAAATGGGAAAGATTCCTTTCTTCTTTATGATTACTTCTTTAATTATCAACTAGAGCTACTATTATCCGTTAATGTTTCATACTTGTGTGTTTTCAATCAATCTGGGTACTTACTTGTTACAACAACTGGCTTATAACCAAAAAATATGCAGCAGAACTTTAGTTGACATTAAATTGAAACGCGTTTAATTCTATATATATATATATATATATATAACTGGAAACTGATGTTATGATTCATTGTTGGAAAGATTCAGCTTTTGATAAAATCAAAGCACTTGAATGTTCGTTTTGCTGAAAGATTAGTGAACACATAGTAGACATTAGAAACAATAAAATTGAAAAGAAATTTTGTTTTAAAGTAAATTAATGTGTTGAAGTACTCTGAGGGAAAAAAGGTGTAATATGAAACTTATGAGGTTCCGTTGAACTTTCCCATACAAATCAGGTATCTATGAAACCTCATTAAGGTTTAGTAATCGAAGAGATTTCGTATGATTCCCTTCAAAATTTTGTATCATAACATATGGTGCAAAAGTAATGGCAATAATGTCAAATTCTGTTAGACCTTATTACCGACTTCTAAACCAATTTTTCAAACTTTTTTTTGTTGGAAAGAGCAAAGTCTGAACTACTAGTTTTATACCAGACATATTTTTCCAGAACGAATCTGAGGAGGAAAAGTCAAAAACCAAACACCTCTGAAAAAGTCCTTGCAACGTTTTTGCAACTTGAAAAGTTTGTATTTCTCAATTATTTCGAGCTCCATGCATCAAACTTGAACATACACCAAAATGTAGCGGATCAAAAACTCTATCGATATCAACATTGGTAAAAGTTTTAAATCCGTTCTTGACTCTTTAATCAACGTTTTAAATAACGTTGTATAATCGAGTCTTTTGTAAAACTATCACTTTGCAAGAAAATCAGCCATCGTCTTCAGAAATCATGCATGAACTCAATTCTTTTTGCGTTATTTGTTAGAAATATGTCCGATCGTAGACATTTTACAAGAAAACACAATTCAAAAAAGATTTTTTATCGTTGCAGAACGGCCAGGTAGTAAGAACGACCAACTAATTTAGTCTCTTTCAGAAAATGCTGTATTTTGGTACAAAAATCAGGTATCCTCTCGATTCGTCCGTAATTGATTTCTCAACGTCCTTCATAAATTTTTACTCTCAATTCGTCCCTCAAATGTCCTCATAGGCTAAATTAATCGGCTTTTAAATTTATTTAATAAACTTTGTAAAAAAGAATAAAACTAATAATTAACAATATATAAACCGCTATAATTCAGAGCCGTTTAGGATGCTTAAAAAAAACAAGCTGACTAAGCTATATAAATTTGTGGATATTCAGTAGGAGTACACACAAATTCTCCGAAAATGTTACATTTTTTGTTATAATGTTAGATTACAAACTCGAAATGAGTGGCGCTGTCGTGATAGAAGTTGTACAAGTTCAATATTACTATATTCACTATGATGACACGTTAATTAATTTTCCTGATTCGTCGACATTTTATAGTGTCGGCGGCTCACATACATCTTTCATCTCCCCGCCCGAAATGTTGTCAACGAGTCAGGAAAAAAGTTGATGTGTCGACGAATCGGGAATACACCACAGTAACGAATGCTGAACTGGCTATTAAATGTGGTAGAGCTGTTAAAACAACTCCAATTAAAAAATGATATCTTCACGAATAATTGGTTTGTCTTACATAGTGATATTGTAGCTGTTCATATATTGTTAATTATTAGTGTTGTTCTTTTTTACAAAGTTTATTAAATAAATTTAAAAGCCGAATAATTTAGCCTATGAGGACATTTGAGGGACGAATCGAGAAAAAAAATTTATGAGGGAGAACTGAAAAATCAATTAGGGACGAATCGAGGCTTAACCGAAAGAGCACTCTTTATGCTACAAAAATCATCATTTAACGTGTTTTCTTATTTCTCTTCTGATGAAAAAAAACTAATAGAAAATAGAAAATGATGTTACTCCATAGCGAAGTTGCAAGGACTTTTTCAGAGGTGTTTGGTTTTTAACTTTTCCTCCTTCTCAGATTCGTTCTGGAAAAGTATGTCTGATACAAAACTAGTAGTTCAGACTTTGCTCTATCTAACAAAAAAAGTTTGATTGGTTCGTTCACATTGATTTTGTGTTTTGATAGTTTAAGTTTCAGAATGATATAATGGGAATTTGCATTCTCGATTTCGTTGTGGTTCAAGATTAATGTTTAAACCAAACCTTATTCGTACATAACCTTAAAAAGGTTTAGAAATGGCTTCAATTCTCGAAACCCTTTTTAAGTTCCATACGGCACCATTTTTTTATTTGAGAGTAGGAAGTGACGCAAAATATCTTTTTTATCGATAGAAAAAAAGAGTTTTTATAATCAAGCCTTTATATATTCTTGAAAAGATCGTCCATCCCTTTAGCACACAATCAATAGATATGTCTTTACAGGAGAAAACGTGCTTACTACTTGAACTTTGTATATGTGAGTGAATGGCACAACCATCGTACCATTTAGCAAAAAATTCTAAAAAAATAAGTTGCTTACAAAAAGATGTTCAGGGTGTCGGATTGAGTTATCCTACACCAGATGTTAAGTAGGAAACCTTTTCCCGGCACTTTTTAATCAAAACGGCGAAAAAATACAGAGATGGACGAATATCCGGAGTAGGAATATCCGAAGTTGCGATATCTGAAGAAGGAAAATCTCTTAATAGTTGACTGAGCCGACGCGGGAGAGGTGGACAGTGAGAGTGAATGATAAAATAACACTGAATAGCGAGGTAGCACAAGCATAACAACTTTTCTAGCAAAAAGTCATAAAGGCATAAAAGGTGCAAAAGCATAAATGCTACAACAGTCATAAAAGCTACAGAAGTTATAAAAGCTAGAAAAGCATACAAGTAACTGTTAAGAAATATTACTACTTCGGATGTTGGTTCATCTGTGGAAAAACAGGATATTCTGGATTTTGATTTTCGCCGACTCTCGTAAAATATGCTTTTGGTGCTACAAGCAGCTGAATCCCCAAGGTGATTGTGGATAAAGCCAATTATACTTGAGAGAAATAATAGATATTATGCATAGATCGATAGATCTTGATGAGGTAAATCCGATGATGCTACTCCTAAACCTTTATCACGTAGAATTTCTATTGAAAATATCGAAAACGGAGATTTTTAGCTGAAGAACTGAACTCCTGGCAGTCATTACTCGCACTTACTGAACTAATACTTTTCAACTTCGTGGTTGAACAGAGCACACTCAACCGATTGAAATGGTGTGTCATAAGTTGCATTTCGGTTCTGTTTTGAATGAAAATAACCATGTAGAAATTTCACCGGACATTTTCGCGTATTTTTCAAATTTCTCCTCGACGGAAAAGTCTATTTTAGGGCAAAGAGATATTCTGACTGTTTCCAAATAAACTTTCTGCGTGAGTTTTAGAGTTAACACTGCTCTCTACATGTATGATGTCTCTATGTATGATATGACATATACACTGCACTCTATTTTTCAACAAAAAAGTGAACCAGTAATTGAAATGAAATAGAAATTCATGAAAAAATGATTCTCAAAGGCATTCTGCCTTTAAGTTTCGAAAGTTAAAACTGAACTATGAGATTCTAATGAGTTTATGTTCACAAGGGAAATGAGAAGATCTGACTGTAAGTCTTCTCATGATACACACCTTTCTCACGTGTTTTTTAAACGTAACGAACACTTTCATTCAATTTCATCTGTATGATATGACATATGAATGGTAAAAACCTTACAAAGTTGCCAGTAACAATTTTTATTTCATCAAATTTAAGGTAGAATATAGGTTTTTGAAGAAACTGATGTGTTCAAGATAACTATTTGCATACGACTAATAATACAGTAAACAAACAGTAGCTCAGAATGTTTTGTGTAGTTGTGGGTGTGTGCTACTATTTCAGAAAAAAATCGAAAGTTTTTTTGTATACGTTTTAGACTCGACAAGACTGACTTTGTGCGTTAGTAGTGCGTTTCACTGCAACGATTGATATTCGAGATGAAAAGTCCTACGCAGTTGGATTTTGCGCCATTCAAACAGCAGTTATCTCCGGTGCCTCTTCATATAAGATAAATAAAGCTTTAGTGCTCTGTGATTGTGCTCTAGGGCTTTGAAAATATAGACTTTTTGTATATGTGTCAGCTCTCTCTAATCACAATGAAAAAATTCATTTGTAGTAACCATAAACGACCTTGATTTTGTCAATCATATGAACTATTTAATATCCGTGCAGAACGTTTGATTGAAGAAGAAATACGGACTCATATGGTTCAAGAAAGCGGAAATTCAAAACTTGGCTCATCTGGGAAATCATACTTCATACAATTTTTCCAGGAATGTATGGAAGCGTTTACGACTTCCACTTAGAACTACAAACTTGTATATTGAAATCGTAATAAATAACGGAGATGATGGGGTAATCTTCCCATAATTAGAAAACCTTTCTTTTCATCGTTGAAGTCTTTAAAAATTGTTTGTTTTTTGGAAAATTGAATTTCACAGAACTTCTACTAGAAAATTTGTAAACCGTCCCTTTCGAAAACGTGGTCCATTTGCCTCGATTTACATATTCACTATTTGTTAAAGCAAGCACAGAGCTGTTGACCTTTGCCATCACATCAATGTATTAATTATTGAGCTTTTTAATTAATTCTCGTTTGTCGAAGAAAAAATCATAAGTACTGATTCTTTCTCACTTGAACACAGATAATGTCTAAAAATTAGCACAAATGTAAATGCACGTTATCAAAAATCAAAATTTATTAAAGTACAAAAATAACAAATGAGAAAAGCAATAAACAGCAAAAAAAACGGAATAACAATTGATGGAAGAAAGCTTGTCCTACAAAGCTACAAAAAAGTAGCAGACAAGGTCTAGAAGATATCTGGCGCTGTTTAGCTTGTGATAATATTTCGAATTCATACGTTGAGAGACACAGATTAGCTATATGTAGCTATACAATTGATTAGGCATCATATAAACAAAGACATGACGTATGTACACATAATTTATCATTCGAACGACGTCTTGATACAAAATTGAACGCTTACACATAGAAAATAAGTGAAAAGAAAAATAAAGATTTGAACTAAATGGTATCTGACACTGTATATCTAGGGCGAAAATAGAAAACGAAAGAAAAAAAGAAAACGAAACTTTCAGCATTAACATTTTTGGCTGTCTTAATTAGTGTATGATTCATATTTTCGTGTTGGAAATATTGACGGAATCCTTGGTCTGGCATTTTCAGGACGTAACATGAATGGTAAACGTACATATGGTTCATGACGATCTATTTGTTGCCTAGTTTCAAATATATGTGCTGTTGGTCTTGTTAATAAACTGCTATGATCTGGATGAATTGGAGGTAATTGTAATGGCTGTTTGGTTTGAAATACACGCGTTTTTTGAAGTGTTAGCTGAGGTTCCTCTAGAGATTGTTGCTGTGAATATTTTACTTTTAAATGAGTAGCATTTTTTTCACGAAATTCATTCTCAGTTTCATATCTAGGTGCTGCTATTAACGCTTGTAAATTTTTGATATAATCATAATTTATATTTGATGATGAATATTGAGGAAATGTTAATTTTGAAAATTTCAGCGCTGGATAAGATTTGATTTTCTCCGTTTGAGTCAATGGAAGTGGCGGAATACATGGCAAAGGAATCGATGAAACTAGATCGTTACCGTTAGAAGCTATGAATGACGACTGTTGTAGTGAATCATTTGAGAATTGTTGTTGAGTATTTAAACGTTGATTGAACGCTAATGAAAAGAAAATATTTAAACAAAACAGTTGCACAGTTATTAGATTGAATTATCTACAACACGATTGATACCTTGGCAAAATGTAATCATGTTTGAAAATGTTCAATTGGCGAAATGATGTCTCCACTCTTTACTCAAGATGTATATAGATTATTTCAATAATCGTTATTTAAAGCAAAATCAAAAATTATTTACCTATATTCTGAGTTCGATCAGCGGTCTGTTTGAGATGAACATCACAGTATATCTGATTAATATTTTCTTTCTCTTTTTTTATACCAATGTCGTCAAAATCGTAACTAGAAGAAAGAAACGAATCATGAATCAATAATGCTAGATATTTTTTTATTATTTTCATCATTTTTTTCTATTACTGTACCAGATGGGAAGAGATGATACTAGCGGTAATGGTGGTACTGAATTAGCTTTGATTAATAATGCATTACTACCATTGATCGAGGCTGGATTGAACTTATTCTGTTGTTGATCATTCTTTTTTATTCGTAATGGTAGGTATTCTATTTGAACCGTTTTTATATCATTAATTGGTTTATGGACTGTTCCGACCATTCTCAATATTATAAATCTACAAGAAAGAAACAAATAACTTTATATAGTTACCGTAACTGTATAGTCTAAAGACAAAGGCTACTATCCAAAAAAAGACTCGATGAAACTGATCGAGTACAAAATCGTATATTTCTAGCTAGTTTCAGTAAAAAGAACATGAGAACGTCAAATAGGCAACGAAATAGTGTATAGAACAGAGCCAATTAATGGCAATCTTCACAAATATTTAATTCTTTTTCAATAGTTAAACTGTTTCTAGTAGTGTCAAAATGTAACCAAGAAAGATGCAGTTTTTCACTGTGTAAATATTATGTATTTTCAGTAGTTTTATTTGGTTTTAATTTATGCTGTTTAATCGATGCTAAATTATAAAATGACATGGTAAATGATATAAACTATTATAGATGAACAGCACAAAAAATAAGAACAAAGAAGGAAAAAGTATGTAATGAAGAAGACAAGAAGAATAGAATGATGCACGCTAAACCCTACGATATTGTACAGACGTTAAGCAAAGCGTGAGAACAGTGTAGAGAGCATAACAAATTGAGATGGTTAGTTTAATATTTAAAACGTTTTGTAGCAACTATGTAATCGATCACCGATCTGACTACAAGTGTATAGGAGTCCTTCTCAAGAGATACATTAAGAGAGAGAAGAGCCAAACTAAGAGGACTGCCGTTTAGTAAGAATCGTAAATTATTATATAAATGATTTCTAGAGAAAGTATACCGGAGACAATGAAGTAAATAATGTTATCGTGTTTCGATTTCGTCGCATTGACACCAATTAGTATCAGATAAATGGTTTAGATAGAGATCAGCATTTAACTGCGAAAATTCAGATCTTATTTAGTAGTAGATATCAGATTTTCTTGGAATCTTGTAAATCCGATAAACAGTTGAATTAGTCTGCATATATGTTTTTAAAGATTTAACAAAAATAGCTAAAGTTTTGGATTCTTTTATGTTTTGCTGTAGACCGTTCCATTTAGCGATAGTAGAAGGAAAGAAACTTTTATCGAATATTTCTCTATGAGTCTGAATCGAAGGTATGTTCAGATTATTTTAATATCTTGTACAATACTGATGTGTTACCTTGCTTGGTAAAAATGAGGATAAATATGGAGGAGCAAGTCCTTTAATTATTTTATAAAATAAAATAAATTTATCTTGAAGAAAGAGTTTATCTAATGGTAACCAACCTAAACAATGAAAATTTTTTTCTTTACTTGACAACCGTGGGGCTCCACTTACAGCTAACAGAGCCTGATATTGTAAGTTATATAGCCCAGTTAAAAGGCTTTCATATGTCGATGTGTAGATACAATCAGCATAACCTATTGTTTGTAGAAAAAATGAACTATAAATCTGTTCAAGAACGATTGTAGACCAGTTTGTATTTGAAGAACTTCAATAAGTAAAATAAGTAAGTTTTATATCTTCTTGTATTATTTTTGCTTTATTATATTATCCGATGAAATTGCACATGTAGAATGAAAAACATAGATTTTCATTTGTTCAAATAAATTGAGCACTTACTTACTTTGTCGTACGACGATATAAGCGTTATAACCCTCATAAATCACAACCGTCAGAGGTAACATTTAACGTGACTGAAGAATATCGTAACTATGTACATCAAACTGAAAACGTTTTCTACAACTCTTAGATAATCAAGAGAGCATAGATCCTTTTAACGTCGTTATAGCGCATACTTTAATCATGTTCGCTTATAAATTGTAATCGAATGAAATCAAGATCGAATTATCATCTTTAAGATGAAAGATGATAACTCGAAAAGAAGTAATACTTCTTTTCATCGTAGATACAAATGCACTGTAGTAAACTTTACGCTATTTGTAGAACAAAATTTAATCTGATACCGAGATGAAATCAGGATTAATTTTACAAATAAGTAAATAAAATTGAAACAAAATTCTAGCAGATCATTTCTTGTAAATTTTTCAAAGTCTGTGTACAAAAAAAATGCAAAAACAAGAAGCCATAAAACGTTTTTTTACATACGCTCACCAAAAGAGATATATTTCTTTTTTTAAATATTAAAATATATAAATATATATATAATGACCGCGTATGTACCAAAATATTATACAGTTAATAGTTAAAAAGGTGTCAAATCCGAATGAACAAACAAAAACAGTATAACAGAAAGCTAAAAAAACAAATGACACCACTGTCTGTCAATACGCATAAATAAAAATAAAACAAAAAACACGTATTACTAATGAATGAGAATAAAAAACAAGCTAAAATTCTATGAATGAAATTCAGATCTGTTACATTGATAAAATAAAAGAAAGACGGAATGTATAAAAGAGCACAATGTTTGATTTATCATTTCTAAAGCTCTACCAAATTACATGGAATGAACAGTTTATGAGCGAAAACAAATAAAGAGAGAAAAAGAAAGAAAACAAATGCCTTAGCAAAAAAAAAAATATATCACGAATAAAGCACACGATGGGTTTTGGACACATTACTTTTTCTACGTTAATCTTTTGATTGAAAATAAACAAACAAACAAACGGGAAAATATGATTAGTACCATTTGGATGAGGACGTCGATGAGGATGATTTGTGATATTGACGAATCTAAACAATATAAAAGACTAAATAAATCGACAATTTTATTGTTATAAGTACAAATAAGAATAGCCGTCACAGTTCTGAAACATGCTTGTAAAAGGTGAAGCAATAGGTTAGTTCATGCAAACATATTATTGGGCAGTATAAATTGATTTTTCATACAATATTTCTTTAAAATTGAAAGTTTGAATAAGAGAATATCTAAAATTCTTTTAATAATTCAAGAAGCAAGACATATTATACGAAAACATCACCGGTGGCTATTCTAGGCATGGAAAATACAGTTGTAGAAAAAAAAGTGAGTGATAGTTTAGTTTAAAAGGTTAGTAGATGTAGAAGCATGCAAACATAATCATAGGCAAACACTTGGGAGGCAACAATTTCATCCTTCAAGAAATTGATTTACTAATCTACTTCATATCAACAACTCAATAATCAATTCACTAAACAAAAGATCTGTGAAAAGTGTATATCATTTTGCTTTTTAAAGAAAAATATTTATTTATTTATTAATGAAAAATGATTGATCTAAGTGTTTCAGCATGCAGCTGAATGACATGCCATGTAAAAGATTTCAATATTATTACAATCTCATTTTTTGAAAAGCATTGCTATTTTATTTGAAAATCTGTACAGCGTGTGTGTATGTGTATGTGTGTGTGTAGTTTTTATATGTGCGGTATTTACATTCTTCTCTTTTTCTATCGTTTGTTTTGATTTCTTGCTAGTGCTTGCATCATCTAAACAGAACAGAAGTATTGTGCTTTTGCTTTTTACAACATATTCAGATATCCGCTGAAAAATGAACCACACAAGTGAGAAGATAAAATAAAAAAGACATTTTCACTTACAAATACAAAATAAACAATAAAAAAATTGATTCTTTCCTAATTTATTCTAGAATATATCTGTTAGTTACCTTGAACAAATGTAGCACTAGTCAGTAAAGAATAGATAAATATCTATCAAAATTTATCAGTAGAACGAAAGTTATTCAATCATCAGTCTAGTGCTTTATTAAAGAAAGTTCGGTGAAATCGGTATCTATCTGTCTATCCTTTTTCGCTAGAAGAAAAGAGTGGACGGACAACATTGCAAATGTACATTCCCGATCTGTTCTTCGACATAGTTAATAGTAAGGTCTCTTGAGATAGTTGTTAGACAAACACTAATATAAACTTTCGCACTCCACTAACAAGCAGAAGACAACCACTTTCAAAAAAATGTTGTGTTTTAGTTATAAAGCATGATGTGAAAACTTTCTAAAACATACCCTCGGAGGAATGAATCTTCCACTTCCTCTCCCACTTCTTGTTTCTGTTGTTCCATTATTCAACATTAAACTATTTCCATTATTGATCACATTCGTATTCATCAATGATGAATTGCCTAATGTTGGAGTTGTTGCTGCAGATGACGGTGGTGATAATGGTAGTGTGGGTATTATGACTGTAGATGAATGACTATTTGTATTATTGCTTCGTCTCACGGAATTATTTACACGTTCATTATCCATCTCTATATCTTCTAATTTTTGTGTTAACGCTAATTTTTGTTGTATAGCCATCCGTAATAGTGAATTTAACGTTTTCTTTTCTTCTTCTGCTGCATGTACCTGTCGTTGTAATTCATCTAATTGTGTTACATATTCATCACAACGAGCAGCAAACATAGCACGTAATGATGCAAAAGTAGCGGCATCTTCTTTTAACGATTTCAATTCATTCCTTAGTTTAGACATTGTTTCTGTGACAATTAATTTTTCATTTTCATATTTTGATTTCAAATTTGCCAAAGCAATTTCAGCTGTTTGTTTATTTGCCTTTACCACTGTACGTAAAGTGGCTATTTGTTCACGTTTTGTGGTTAACAATTTATGCAATTTGATTATCTAAATAGGTGAGAAACAAATATATTGTAATCAATTGCTCAATGGAAAAGAGGAGAGGGCTTACTTGATCCTGTGCTTCTTCTTTGGTATCATTTGGTAAATCATTGACAACTACAGTTGGTATTGGTGTTATTGCTACAGCACTGTCCCCATTCACTGATACTGGTACTTCTAGTTGTTTTATACTTGATGTTTTATCAATAGTTTGTTTTAACTGTTTTATTTGTTCATTTATTGTTTCCAATAATTTTTGACATATAAACGGATCAATTATCTTATTGTTATTGATATTATCGGATTTGTGTTGGCGTATTTGTTGTTTAATGTCATTGTCTTCATTTGGAATAGCACTGGCAACACATAATTGATGATTCAACGAGTCCAATTCTTCACTAACACAAATCTGTAATGAAAAATTAAACAGACAATAACAACAATAACTTCTACAAACAAAATATTTCCTGTTCATGAGCAAGGTAGATGAGTAATCCTAACTGTAAATTTCTACCGCAACTTTACTACCATCCTTTACTTCACTACCATCCTATTAATCACACTTGGGGAAATATTGGCTAATAAATCAATAAGTCTCTATGTTTCCGCTTTACTACTTACCAAATCATCGTGTGTTTTGTTTAACGTTGTTTGAATATCGTTACATTGTTTCATCATAACATTCAAATCTTGTTTTAATTTACTTATATTATGTTCTTGTTCATCAGATTTCTTTTTCAATAAATCATGGTCACCATTATGTTTTATTAATACTTTATCCAGATTATCAACATAGGTCATGGCATCATTCAACAACAACTTTGTATCATTTTCATTTTGTTCATAATCTGTTTTATTCACATTATGATGCTGAATGGTTTGAGATAAATAATAGATTTTTTTTATTAATAATTTTGTTTTATCGTTAATATCTGATAATTCTTGTTCAATTTTTGTTTTTATTTCTAATAATTGATTACATTCTAATTCTAATTTCTTTATTTCATTTCCGTGTACTTCACTAAACAAATTTCCAACTGGTTGTTGTTCACTGATTAAATCATTTTCAATGCGAACATATTCAGAAGCTGTTGAATCAATATTGTCATCGTCTACATCACCATCGCTACCATCTTGATCCATGTTATCTTGTTGTCGACCATCAGAAACAACCATTCTTAAACCGGCAGCTAATGTATCCAAATTACGCCGAGATTCCTACCAAAAAATAATATATATTATATGCACCACTGATGAATGACTTCAATCTTACTTGTTGAATTTTGTGCTCTAACTGTTTTTTATACAGATGTTTTTGTTCTCGTTCTTCTCTCAAGTCTGAATGGATATCTTCCAATTGTTTTTCAGCAATACGTCGTAAATTAATTAATTCGTCGATTTGAGAGTGTAAGTCATCAACCTAGAATAGTTAATAAAAATATAACTGAACTCTTGATTGAGCACACGACGAAAAGTGGTATGGACTAAAGATCAAATTCTGAAGACTACTCATTAACAAAGCAAAACCTCACCAACGTACTGCACTTTAAACTGATTCGATTTTCTAATCCGATGCGTTATTTTCCTACAGCAGACGAAGTCATCAATTATTTTTTCTGCTCTTAAAAAAGCTGTGGAAACCGCGACGAACATTTTACCATCCGAGAATTAAATGAACAATCAGCAGCGCATTACAGAGATGGGCAACTTTAACTCCGGAGTTGAACTAACTTCTTTTTAGTGGAGTTGAAGTTGCGTTTTTATTAGATTAGAGTTGAACTGAGTTCAGATTTTTTCAACTTTAACTCCACAACTACAGTTGAAAGTTTTTACAAGTCTGATAACTTTTTCCTTTTTTGTTGAATTGTTAAAATGACTTTTTTTGTGTGTACTCTCGTTAACAAAAGCGAAATAAACAACTGCTAATAAAATAAAGAAGGAAATGGATCAAGAGAAAATAAGTTCCTGTGTGAGTTGAAGTTAGAGTTGGAGTTGAATTGGAGTCGAACTTTGCCGGAGTTGCCCAACTCTGGCACATTACAAATTCAATAATTCTGAGATTGTTTTCTATCACTTTTAAATTATCTATTAGTTAGAGTTGTCACACAAAGCAGCGTTGATGAAGGTTCTGATGTCAGGGCAAAAATGTGACGGAGAATTTTTTAGGATCGCTAGGAAAAGTCTTGATCGATTCCACTACACTGTTGACTCGTCTTTTCTGGGTTACAACAACATACTTCTTCTTGTAATCGTTTATTTTCATGTTTCATTCCATCATAATCAATCAAATTTTCTCTTAATTTTGCCACTTGTTGTTGCAATCCAATATTATCATCTTCTAATTCGGTATTTGCATCTAATAAACGTTGCTCATTTGCTTTGGAATCTTTTAATTCATGTTTTAATTTAATTTTAAGATCGTCTAATTCACGATTACTCTCATTTAATTCTTGAATATTTGATGAAAGTTTTTCATTTTCTTTATTAATTCGTTGATTATCTTGCTTTGTAAAACGTAATTCATTTTCAAATTTTGAAATTTCTTTCAATAAATAATCTTCACGCACTTGCTTTTCATGTAAAAGTGTTTCTTCGTTTGAGACACCTTTCAACGTTTCTTCCCGTTTATTCAATTGAAAGTTTTTCAGTTTTCGTTGCAGTGTTTCCAACTCAGATTTCATTATTTCATGTTCTGATTCTAATTCTTGATATTGTAATTGGATCTGTTTACGTTCTTCCATTACGGCTAAACCAAATGCAGCGGCTTGTTGATTATTTGTTTGAGCTATTTCCAGCTCAGATTGTAATCGATATAATTCGGCCATTAAATCAACAGGACTTGGTGGTGCCGGACTGTCAGATGTTGATGACATGTTTAGTGGATGATACTAAATAGAAGAAAGATAGAATAGACATAGTTGCTACGTCGATCTGATCTTTTGCGTAATTCCTAAAGACTCACCGTCGGAACTAATGTGGATGAAATAAGAAAAAAAAGCAACGCGTGTTAAAAAGTTGTTTTCACATGCCAGAAACGTTAATTTTTTGGTTGACAGAAAAAATTAGAGACTCCAATGATTTATTCGATAGAGTTGGATAAAAATAGTTAAGCAGACTCACATCATATTATAGAAACGAACGTAGAAACACTGCAGTGTAAGATGGAAGGCAGAAGATATCCAATCAGTAAAATATTTTTAGAAAACCAAACATTCGTGACCGACTGATTTATTATGAAATTGAAAAGGCGTTGAAACTTATTTACACTAATTAAATACAGAATTCTCGTCAGACATCATCAAACGTTAATTAAAATTGAGCGACATCTGTTCACCATAACGAAATAAAAAATAACCGCTAAACAGCGTGAATGCGCGTCCCCTATTGAAGGTACTAAAACGTTAGTATCCAGTGAGTAGGTACAAAAATAGCACGAGTACCTGAACATCTTAGTAGGAGCCTTTCAGTCTTTTCGTGAATTGAATGAGCGCTCGGTTTAGCACTCAGAAACACAAGTTTGAGTTCTTGTCTATTCATTTTCTCGGAAAAGAATGAATTTTATACTTTAGAATAAAAGTTTCTTTACGTAGGTAAATTTATTCAAATTCGCTCAACTTGACTAATCAAAATAATGACAATGATTAAATATTAATGTGACAAACGTCTTAATTAATATTCAACTGAAAGAGAACGTCGTCTTCGTTTTAGGCTTGAGTTGAAGATCTTTTGAGTTTCTGTTTTGGTGTATTTATCCATTGATTCCCTATTCGACTGCATTTTTTATTTAGTAATTCTTTATATTGATTAGGGAGCATGTCAAAATTTAAATTATAATTTATTTTATTTTGTATAATTCCGGTTCCTTTGATTGTATTGTGAATACATACATCGGCATATATATACTCCAATGTGTTCGTCTTAGTTTAGTTTAATTCTCAACTGGTAAACCAAGTGTGTGATTATGGCTTTGATTCTTGTGTTTTAATTAAATGTTTATCAATAAATTTTTGTACATATTGTGCGACGCGCTCAGCTTGTGTCATGTGTAAATGATGTGGTCCGTCGACAAATTCTGTTTCGAACTAAATTAAATTAATAAAATTATTTCATGACAGTTTGTTCTCAATATATACTACTTACATTTGGATTGCATTCTTTCAACAGCTGAATACTTTCTTCTGATCTTTGCCATTGAGGTTCATTTGTTCTTAATAAAAAAATGACGTATAAACAAAATGACGTTTTTTTCATAAGTAGTGCATACCCGATAAACAGAATGGGAACTTTGATTTGTCGAAAGGCTTCATAAGCCATATCTCGAGTAAAAGGAATAATTGTGGGCTGAAAACATGATTTTGTAAATGAACCAGATTAAACAAAAGTGCGCACTTACAAATTTTAATGCATCATCAAATGTAAAATAGAGATTACCATCTTTAAATAGAAGTTCAAAAAGATAAATGACAATATATCGGCAATTGTTGAAAAGTGCACAATAAGAATAAGCAGATTCAATTTCTTACCGGAATCAGTTTTGACAGACCGCTCCATTAGTAATTTGGTTGCATCATCTGTTATACCTTTTCGTGAGGCTTTCATTCTAAAAAAAAGTATTTTATAGTCTTATCACCGTTGTTATTTTCAACTTGATTACAGTTGAAATGCCTTATCGAATGTTAGTTGAGTACTGCGAACTTTTGATGGTTGATCATAGTATTGTAAGTTGCTATCGATTCTTTGCAAAACAGTTTCCCAGTACCGATCTGAGTGTGCAATAGGGATTAATATGTCGATAGCAACAACAGATTTAACATCATCAGGATACATAGCTGCATACTAAATAAGAAGAATAAAGTAATAAAGTTGTCACATATTCGGCAAAAATATATACTTTACACTGAGAGCCAGAGCTGCACCAAAACTATGACCGATGAGAACAAATTTTTCAGTTGACCATCCAATTTCTTTTTAAATAGGATAAAGAGAGAATATTGTAGCTTGGAATAAAGAGTTTATTTAAATACACACTTTGCACAACCATTCGTAAATCTCTTAGATTGTTTCCTATACTGTAGTCTATACCTTTTGGAAGATGTGAAGAATATCCGTGTCCAGCACGATCGTATAAACATATTTCGCAATCTACAGATGATAGAAAATATGAATATTCTTTGAAATTCTTTTTTTTGGTGTAAGTCTCACTGACTTTGAGTTTTCAGTAATCTTTCGGATAAAGGTAATAAACTATTCAAATTATCTAACCATCCGTGAATACCGATAATTTTTGTTGTCACAGAATTTGGTAATAGTATATCATTTTTCAACAATATAGTAGATAAATAACCGCCCCAAACTGTAGGAATACTCAATTTCATCTGAAGAATTGTAAAATTAAAAGATTTTATTTTTCAAAACATTGATGCTAAGATGGTAAATAGGGATTCAGTTCAGTACATCGGTAAAAACATTTTGCACGAAATTTCTGTGTGATGATCCAAAAGCAGCGGTAATGTTTCAAACGTAACTCGGACATTCGTTGATATAATCTGACTTAGACTTCTAGCAAAAAGTAATTGAAACATTTTGTCGACTTGTGAGCGAATTTTTTAGCATTATAATTAGTAACAGTAAATTACAAAAGAATTATCAAAGTACGTATGTCTCTCCGTTTTTTTTTCGGGTAATTCCATGTGAAATATCTCATCATTATAGTGACCTGTTCTGTTTCACTTAAGACTAGTCTAGTTTTAAAGGCCTCGTAGAGTTACGTGAGAAAACATCTTTTTTGATCTCATAGTTAATGCAGAAACCGAGAAAAATGACTTTAACTCTCTCAGCAAAACTGTCGGATTCGGCGCCATTCTCAAGGCGAGTTAATGAGTACCGCGACAAATTTTACAACATGTTCTCCCTTTTTTCAGCAAAGCCTTTAAGACTTTTATTAAAGAGTGAGACAAGAACTATATATTCTCTGAAACTTTGAAGAATGTCCTATGTAAAGTTCAATGGACATTGAACTTTTAAACATGAATTTTATTTTTATTTTATTATTCTGACTTTGAATTTTGATAAAAACAGCTTTCCATAGGTTTTCTTACATTGTGAGTTCGGTTATGACCATAAAAAGCTGCTTTTCCAAATTTCTATACTGTCGTTGAGGTCGTGACTATGGTAATTATCGTCATTGATATCTAACTGGCTATTGTTATAATCAGTTAGAGTGAGAGTGAGTTAGACTGACGATCTAGAACAAAATTTAATATTAATACTAAATATAATTCAACAACAAGTATGGTGATAAAACCCCCAAAATAAACTTTTATTTTAGAAGCTACTATTCCTGTTCAGCAGCTACATGGCTTCTTTTTATAACTGTTTCATTTTTTAGGATTAAGATACACACGAAATAAACGAACCAGAAAAAATCCTTTTTATCTTGAAGTGAAGGAGATATTAATTTATATTTGAGGAATCATCCTTTAAAATTAATTCTTCTGACCAAAAAAGTTTTTCTGTGCTGAATAATTTAGTGGTTCCGGACAGGTTGGATTTGTCAGTCCATTAATGTTCTCGATCTACTTGCTAAAATAAGGTACAAGATAGAACCATTTCTTTATGTGTATGGAGGATGAATCGGACCCACTGTGAATCGGTGTTAACAACGGCGATATGTGATTAGATAAATGGTGTTCGTGATTTTGCAGCAAAGTCGCTGTAGGATTGTAAATGTTGTATTGTTTGTGGGCTTGTAAATGTATTAGTTTCAATAACGTGTGGACAGGCACAGCAACGGCTGTTATTACATTTTTGAAAACCGAGAGTTAATGAAATTATGTATTTAAACGATGATGAATAACGTGAACAAACTGAAAAAGGAGAAAATAATATTGTCAGCGGGTGGCTGCAGTTCAACAGATGCATGTATATACTATCGGTATCGCCACTATTTTCGTAATCCGTCTTTCTTTTCGCATGTATAACTCCTTTTGATTTTTTAGTTCATTCCATTTCGTACGTATGACTCTGTTGCTATTTATTCGTTCTTTTATTTTCTCATTCACTCCGAAGTCGGTCGTATATATTCTTTTTCGTTTTTCGTCGTTTATATCTTACTCGTATATTTCTTTTTTCTTGCCAGTAGTATAGTTAACAGCACAGATAACAAACCTGTTTTTTTTTATTTGATTACGTAAAAGCTGTTTAAGTGCACAATCTAATTTTATATTGGTATATAGAACGTACATCAGGTTAGTAAATTCTTTGTTTCTCATTCTTTTCTCTTGACTCAGCTTAGAGGAGTCGGATCAAGCAGATGAGTGCTAGGGACGAGCCAGGTACTGGGTTTGATCCGTGAGAGGCATCGGTCGAGAGGGTGTAGAAGCTAACAAGAACTGATATTTTAGAACATGATCATCCATGAAACTACCGTTTAGTCATTTAACTTTTTGATACGCTTTTATCCATGGTTTCTAACTGCAGATTCATTCAGCTTCTATACAAGTAAAAATCGTACATTAGACTATTAGTTATACAACAAACACTAATGTTTTCATTTTTGAATTTGCTTATTATTTAACATAAACGATTTTGCTTTAATATAAACGGACTATTCTGACAAAACGCACGCATACAAAAAAAGTATATTATTATATTCGAAAGTTTGGAAAACAAAACAAAAAAATGGAACTAAACAACGAGATTAATATATCATTCGACAATATAAATATTCGTTAAGAATATTTGTTGTCTCGTTTTGAATATACACAAAAAAAAGACAACCTAGCTAGCACTACAAAGTTCTTCAGACAACAAAAAATAACAATAACATGTGGATAATACTACAACTGGTACACATCTACCCTACAAAAATTTTTTTTATCAACATCGGCACTGGTTGTGTACCGATGGGAGATTTTGACGTTCGTTCTGACATCGATGCGGTGTTCACCCGTACCCAACCGCTGCTACTCGACTATCAATAATACTAATCTAAAAAAGCCGAGAGAAGCAAAAACACTCGGCTGAATGTTTTTTTGTCTCATAAAAATATTTTACCAGCAAGGGTACGCATCAGTACTATTCAAAAAACATTCGTTTCGCAACGATGCGACTCAGTGTCAAAGTTTTCTTTTCAAGCACCATTGTGTTTTGTTAACTTCTGTCTATATAAACACCACAAAATACTTAAAATATTTCCAATGTCTTTCTGACCTCATCATTTCCTTCTCATTAGAGAAGTGGCGATACAGTGTCGAATGGTTTTTAGCATGGCAATGTGGTACTGGTATCAGCTAGTACCGCACTCTAGTTAATACAAAATTAGCGAAAGCAACGATAATAAAAAAAAAGTAATTACTGATTAAATAAATTACAGCACTTTTTCAGAAGACATATATATCGGCACCAGTGCTATTTCAGCACTTGTTGACACTGACTTGGCACCGGTGCCAAGCCAGTGCAACATAGCATGCCGTGCGTACTGGTAGCTCTGTTAATAGGGTATGTATCTGACAATGAAAAATGTTTTGTTTTGAGAAAAAAAACATATACTATAGCACAATAGAAAAGGTTAAAATAAATATTTTATCACACTGTTATTCTAATAACATACATACACACAACAATAAACAATACGAAAAATAAAAGTATGTGTTGATAGTTAAAAAAATGTGTCTTATACAAACTGACGTCTTAGTATAAGTACGCACGAGTAAGAAATAAAAATGGAAGATGGCGGAGTTGCGTAGAATTACAAGGATCATTTAATAAAACATTAGTCACATTTTTTTTATCTGAACTCGGTAAAGACTTAAAATGGCTATCATAAAAGAGAAAAAATTACAATAAAAATAAGAAATAAAAATAAAATGGAATACAAAATATTGACAAGGTAAATTGCTAATAGTACACTGATTATTTACAATGGTGATTCATTATTCAGAAAGAAAATTCTTTTTAACGTTTGTGGACGATAACTACGAGATTTTTGCCGACGTTTTGAAAATGAATCCATTACGTTTTGTGCCACATTTGTAATTTTTAATTGTGCACTTATGATAGTGGATGGTGTTTGTTGTGATTGTGACGTGGAAGGTTGTATTGATGAGTCCACCACGTGAATATAGCTTTGTGTAGTAGGAAAATGATTATAATTTGAGTATTGATACCGTTGATGACGATGATTGTTGTTGTTTTGATTTTGATTAGAGTATAAACTATTGCCATGATAACTATTAGGATGATAATTAGATGTCATTGTTTGACTGCCAGAAGGATTTACACTTATTTTATAATCTTTAAGTAATATTTCAGCACAACGATAGAGGTAAAATAAATCTCCCTGAAAAAACCGAAGAAGATAAGAAATAAATATCGTAGCAGAGGGCGTTAATTGCAAAACATGAAAAAGAAAAATAGTTTTAAAAACAACAAGGTAAGACGTTAAGATCTGCACGGGTAAATTTATTCTGTTGGGACCTGTGTAGCCTCATCTTGAATGATTGTCTTCTCCTGTGTGTGACGGTGATAGAAAATATTTTTTTTCTCTCTGTTATGTCACCGATCTTCTCTTCTCCACCGTATCACTGGCATTTCATCAATTCATTTCATCAATTTTATTTTGTAAGGAATAAAAAAATCTGTTCTTTCATTTATTACTTAATTAAAGTATATATATTTCGTTCGCTAGCAATTCATACCGTTTTTCCTGTTCAAAAGAATTTTTCAAAAATCCATTACCGTCTAAGAGAGCTGTTGTCTATCTATGTTTTTTTTCGAATTTGTCTATGCAGATCTCTAGTAAGAAGGCAGTTCACTTACACTATGTCTCCAAATAGATGGGCGTTTCATATGATATAATTTTGCTAATTCATAAACATTCAACGACCCGTCAATTTCTATTTGATCGTTCATTGTATATAGTGCGCAAAATGTAGCTGCACGATGTCCACCAAATAGATCATGTACAACTATAGGACCGTTTGTATTCAACATTCTTAATTTTCGTATATTATGTATAAGAGTAAACGAAGCCATTATTGGACTACAAGCATCTGGCCAATAAGAACTAACAACCTGTTTCACACGTAATTCGTAATCTTCCTATGAGAATATGAATAAAAAATAAGATGAACGAAATATACTCAATGATATTTAGTTACTTCAGTTGATTGTAAAACAAAGTCTCTATAAACATAGTCACATTCAAATGTTTCATCAACTAAACAAACGCTAAAATTTCCACAATCCATAATTTGGTTTAAAATTGGCCAATATGACATAACATCAGGCTAAAGAAATAATCACACTATCAAATTATTTTATTTTAAAAGAAATGAGACATACTTGTGTCTTCTCATCGCCGTAAAGTGACACAATTAATGAAGAATTTGTATCCCAAATCATTTGCCAAAAGTCCATGATTGTGTTTACCAAAGGATGCTGGGTAATAATATATTCATCTGGACGATAACAACCCTAAATGGCAGAGAGACAAGTAGTAAACATCAAAATTCAGACATACCATTAATTAAAAATCAGTTTCTTTAACTTAACTTAAGGTAGATTTTGATAAACAAATATTTTACACATGAGACTACAGTCAAAACAACTAACTTACATTGAGAAACGTAGCATTGATATATTCGTCACCATTTGACATATTTGTTTTTTTTGTTAAAATTACTCTCGTTGGATTTACTGGTAGAATCGCTTGTGTTCGATTTTTTAATAAATTTATTTCTGCTCGTCCAGCTAATAAATCATAATCTTTTATTTTACTATTTACTATACAATTAAATTGTTTATCTAATCTTGTCAAGTTTGAATCATTATCGAAATAATCTAACATTTGTATTGAATAATCAAAATTATATTCATTTAATTCAATATCATTCAGACCATTTGATGAAAAATTGTATTCATTTATGGCTTCAACTAGCACATCATAAATAAATATAAATTGTTCCTCTGTTTGTACAAGAAAATTTCTTTGTTGACGAATTTGTTTAAGAAATGATGGAATGTTAATTGAACGTTGTTCTTTAAGCGTTTTCAACATGGTATCGATAACAATGTATGTTCCTGTGCGTCCAACACCAGCACTAAAAGAAAATAATCACCATAATAAAGAGTAACTTTTTAGTTATATAAAACTGATCGTTTACCTGCAATGGACAACAATCGGAGCGCCCTCCGGATTGGCTTGTGAAGATTTTCGAATAAAAGATAATGCTGGAAGAACGAAAACAGGAACACCATGGTCAGGCCAGTCTGTGTAATGAAACTGATAAACTAAGCGTTCGTACGTTACACGCTAAAAGTACATAAAATGATTTATAATTTAATTAAACAAATTTCGAAGTACACAATCGTTTGCTTAAGCTTGTTTCTACTAAGAAGTCGAGAACTAAGACTTCTTTTTTCAAAATAATATAACATTTTACATGATCTATGTGATGAATTATTAACAGAACTTTCTCGAAAATAAAGATCTCCCTACAAAAAAATATTTTATCGGCACTGGTTGTGCACGGGTGCACACCCGTGCCGAATAATTTTTTTTCTAGGCACCGATGCGCACCAGTGCCAAAAGAATGAAAAATTTTGCACCGGTGCGCACCAGTGCCAAAAAGAATGTAAAAATCTCGTCAATGTCGAAGTTTTGTTTTCAGTCACCATTTTGTTTTGTCAATTTCTGTCTATATTAACGTTACAGTCTACTTCTAATATTTCGAATGTCTTTCTGACTTCATCTTTTCCTTCTCATAAGAGAAGTACCGAAGCAATGTCGCGTAGTTTTGGCATGTCGATGTGGTACTGATCAGTACCGCACTCTAATACAAAATTCAGTATAAACAACAATAATAAAGAACTAATTAAATTGATTAAATAAATTATCAGTGCGGCACTAATTTTTTGCCAGTGCGGCACTCTTTCGACAGAAATATACCGGCACTGGTGCCAGCCAGTGCCAGTGACCGATGGCATGCCATGCGCACCGGTGCGCACTGGCAGTGCCCCACTGGAACTTTTTTTATAGGGCTAGATTCTAACAGGAGCATTTTACGAAAAATAAAAAAAGACAGCAGATTGATATTTACCTTTCGATTTATTTTACACCGAATGGCAAATATTCTTTTGACGTAATATGCTAATGTTATTGTTGTTAGAAGTGTAACTTGTATAGTTCCATAAGTTTCGGTTCCTTCTACTGGCCAATACGTGTCACATTTAACCTAATTATAGAAACAAGTCAAACTTCACGATGAAAAATATGATACTCTTTTCAATATACCCGTCCACGTTCTTTAATGTTAGTTATCATAACTATTACACTAACATCTTTTTCAAAAATCATTCTCCAAAAATCATTTATTGTATGACTCGTTGGACCCTGAGTGGCTATATAAGTATTCGTACGATGATGACCCTAAAATACAAACAGAAAATATGAATAACTAGAATAAAAAACAAAAATTTGCTTTTTTTACATCCACATAATTCGCATTGATATAACTATTTCGTTCATCTTTATCATCGCTTGATAGTTTTACACGTGAATGATCGTCTGTAATAAAATAATGGAGATTAGCAATTGTAATTTCTCAAAAACAGATAGAATCTATTGCACTTTACATGTAAGAATGTTCGTATATCGATTTTTTATTTTATTATAATCGAGTTGCGACACATTAGCTGTAAATGTATAACTTTTGGAGATTTCACATATATCCTAGATAAAAGAAAAGTAAATGATTAACTTACACATAAATCCTAATATATTGTTTATTATTTTTTACCTCGAATAATCGAATAAAACCAAAATCAGCATCTTTATGCATACTTTCGACATATGATTCAAACTGAGCTATTGGAATGGCTGTCAAATCAGTTTCTTCTAGGCAATTATAAAAATACAACAGTTTTTATTCTAAAATAATAGTGAAATTATAGTACTCACTGTGATTAATGTCAAAATAATTTCCTTCACTATTTGTACTAATTAAATTTGTTCGAGGATGAAGTTTTTTTCGCAATACATACTCATAACGTAATAAGATATGTCGACAGTCCGGAGTCTTTCCTCTGAAAATAAAGATTATTTACAATAACATCAGATCATTGTCACTAAAAAATAATTTTACTTTTTATATGCAATAAAGAATGAGAGAATAGTCAAACATATTATAGATAAAATTAAACCGGCAATAATTCCACCAAGTACACGATTATCTCGTTTTATTGTTACTTTACCGATCAATGCTAAAGAAAAACAAATGATATATTAGCAATTTGAGAAGTTTATAAAACAAATATCAGACCTATTCTAGTTATGGCACATGGTACTGTCGTATTTAATTTCTCATTTGAACCAATTAATATATTTTCGATGATGACTGAATAATTATAACCAATATCGGCTACATTTCGACTTATGTACTATAAAAATAAAATTAACTTAACAACATGATAATAAAAATGAGAATATAAATCGTTATTTACGTTGTCTATATCACTAATATTTGTTCGCATAAAATTTGTTTGACTTAATCGATAATAGATAATAACTGGTTTAAGATGAATGGAATTTTCAGGATTATCAATCAGTTGTATATATAAATGATTCTTTTCATTGATCGTACATAATAAAGGTGAATATAATGTTTTTGATGTTCGAATATCTTCGCACAGTTTTGTAACGGCTCCGATCAACAACGGTCCATGATTATTAAATTCGTTTAAAGCCAGTAGTTGTACACTATAGCTACCATTTTTTGTTACCTTTCTTTTTGTATGATAAATAATTAATTCTGGTTTTCCATTCCATTTCTTTAATTCGTTCAATAATAGATGCCCAGCAGAATCATAAACAGTTATATTATAGAGAATTTTTTCATCATTTCTATCATGAGTGACAGTTGAAGTATTGACAAGAGAAGATGATTTTGTTGTACGATTAAATATAAACAGCAAGGAATTATCGGAATGAAAGCACAGTACATAGTCGGTAACCAAATGATTATAAGGACGATGATGGGTATGAGGATAAGGAGACGAACGAAGTTTTATGGTTGATGGTAGAAAAGTAGAAGTTTGAGAATACGTGAGTAGTAATGTTGTCCCATTTAGAGTGTATGGGCCACTATAACGATTCCAAGTATCAATTGCATAAATAGTTATTGTATACAATGTATTTGACCGTAATGATGGAAATATGTACGATGTTGATGAACTGTTGACAAGAACTCGATAATAAATTGTATTATTCTGCCTACAGTAAAACAGAAAACAGTCAGTTAAATTCACAACTGGAACAAAAACTAAAATTTGAATTTTTTCTTAAGCTGAAGATCTCGTGTGTTCGAATAAGACAAGCAGTATGCAGTTAGACAGGCAGAAAACTAGAATAGTCTAGTTTTTCCTATTGCTGACGCATCCGACACGTTTAAACTCTTCGGAAAGATAGACACTTACTGTAGAACGATTTCATAGGCTGTTATGTTTGCATTTTTATTATAGTTGTCATCTTCCCAGTTGATAGTAATACTTGAGTTTGTTATTTCTCGAATATACGCTCGCTGAATGGTTAATGGGCGATCTAAGCGAGAACAGAAATAATGTGAGAAAAAGCTAATTTTGGCTGCAGTTCTAATACCATAAGTTCGAATTTTTATTCTGTAACTTTCATCTGAGTTCTTTGAAGAGCAAATAAATCCTCTATCATCTGAACCGTTTATGTACAAAAATCTTCCATTGTTTTGTGATCGTTTTACATTGTAAATATCGTACCATAGTATATCATTATCATTCTGATTTCTTATAGGACAACGCAAACTACCCACATGACTATTAGGATCAAGAAAAACAGCTTGATTGACATCATGAATGATTGAGTATGACGACTGAATTGTGAGAGAAACAAAGATTATCTGTACAAGATCGAAGTAAGGCGTTGACCAAAACATAATTGATATTCAAGTGATATCCATAATCAAAGATTGAAGAATGTCAAACGAAAAAAGATCTCATTCTAAAATATACACAAAAAGGACATCATCGCAGTATGAGGAATTAATTCGTACAAATGATTGATAAATCAATGGTTCTTGTTACTGTTAAGGAGTTTAATGTTGACAATCAAATTTTGACAAGACTAAAAGTCGGGACTTGTAAGTGATTAAAATCTAGCTTTCATGCTAAGTCATCAAATTGAGGTTCAGGTATGCTAGGTGCGAAACTGCGGTCTCAACCAGACATCATGTTGCTCTTAACACCATGTGTCCAGCGTTTCCGCCCATAGCGTGTCTAAACGCCAACTTCCATTTTTTATTACATCTTGCGGGAGCAGCCAATCTGATACTGGAAGTTAAACTGTTAAATACTAGCGATCCGAAATCATACAAGTACAACGAATTTATTTTTCACTTAAAAAATGATTCTTATTCTACTGTTTACTCTTAAAGAGCGACCTCGTCAGTCTCACTGTACAACCGCGACATCTATTAGCAAACGACCGCAGAAGGACAATTTTCTGTTTTTAACTTTCTTTTAACAGTAAACTCAGTTACTGGTGTCAGCCCATTGTTTAGTCGACGGTGACGTGAAAATTCGAAGAAACGTTTCGTTTTTGATGTATAATATAGATTTGACCAGAGATCTGACGCAGCTCTGCAAAAAATCTTTACAATTTCTTTGCACGTTCTTTGCAGAGAAACTGCAGATTTTTATAGTTTTTTTCTTTGTATATTTGTGTTAAAACATTTGAAATATATGAAATAAATGTATATTCCACAGTCCCACAGCACACTAAAAATCTGCAGTTTTTCTGCAAAGTATCACTTTCAGAATCCATCTCAGTTTTCGATGTTTTTGGAGGTTTCTGAAAAAGATTTCTGAAAGCCCTAGAAATCACCTTTTCCTAAATTTCACATTTTAATTAAAATTTTTAAGGTTGTCCGTTTTAACAGGCGTGCAGCTGTGTTGAACAGATGTTCTGATCAGAATAAGCTGTCTAGCAGGTTTGTACGACTTCGTCTTGCGGAGTTATACTAGTTTTGCTAAATGCGCTGAACTATAAAGAATGAAGTGATGACGTCATTGCTTAGAATATGGTTTTGGTACAGCAAAGTTGTATCAACTCTTAGGTGATTCGTCGTAAAACCTTCATTCTTTTTTTATTTTGAAGGTAAGACATTTATCTAAAGTTTGATCCGCGGCGATTCTGATTTTTGTTTTCTTTGCAGAGATAAGTGACAAATACTCCCCCGAATTAGGGTTAGTTTCAGATGTCTGACTTAAAATACGTGTAGGAAATGAACGGAAGCGAAATTCAAAAATCCCCGCGGATAAAATTTTACATTTAGGTGTATGTTTCCATTTGAGGCCTCTCGCAACTTTCTACACCGTCCAACAAAAAAGTCTTTACGTTATTGCTGAGAGCCCCATTTTGCCCCTTGTCACGCAATACCTTGGCAGCATTTCAACGTTTAAAAATTTTAAAACCAATGCGGCTATCATGTTAAGAATTTTAATAAAAAGTTTTAATAAAATAATAAAAAATTAAACAATTAAAACTAAAACATTAAAATTATAATTCGATATTTCGACCTATTAATGTGGTCATTTTCAAGTTTCTCTTTGTACAGGATGTTACATAAAAATTGAAAACAAAAATAACTGATTATATATACATCTAGTGTTTCTCTAATCTAGGCAGACACATTACAAAGAAGATTGAAATTCCATGTGCATGACATCAGTAATTTTTGTTTTCAATTTTTATGTAACATCCTGTACGAAGAGAAACTTGAAAATGACCACATTAATAGGTCGAAATATCGAATTATAATTTTAATGTTTTAGTTTTAATTGTTTAATTT